TGGTTTATACCAGTAGAATTCAAGTGTCTGGACAGATTCCTAATATTAAAAGTCCAACACAATACAGTCTCACCAAGGCAGTCAAGTCACTTTCACGGTTTGAAAGGGTTGAGCCACACTGCATAATGCTGGTAGTCTGCTTTAGAACTCTTATATTTGTAGATTGCATTTAGATTGGTCTTATTTGCCCTGGTTTTTCTATTTAAGTTCACTATTTTCCCAAACCTCCAACGATGTATGTCAATTTAAGATGTCCATTTGCTCTTGCATTCATTAGTGTACGGATTGGGCAGTTGAGAAAGAAGGGACAGCTATGTGGTGACCCAAAAGAAGTGCAACATTACTATTTTCCCCACTTTAAATTGTTGATGTCTGTTAAGTCAAATAAGTTGCTACTTAATTTGAAATTGATGTACCTGTGCAAGGGACTGAAATGTGCCAAAAGCAGAAGACAAATCAGAAATATTGTAACAAATGACTGTAGTGGCAGCACAATGGTTAGCACTGCAGTCTCGCAGCAGTGGGACCCTGCCTTTAGTTCTTGTGAGTGCCGTCTGCCTGCAGTTTCTTTTGCATGGGTTTCCTGCTTCTGCTCCAGTTTTCTCTCGCAGTCCAGAGACCTGTTGGTGGTTTAATTGGCTTTTAGGGAAACAGCCTGGTGTGGCTGTGTGTGTCCTGCAATGGACCGGCATCCCAGGGTTTAACATATCTTGCGGCTATTGTTTGCTAGGTTAGGCTCCAGCTCCCTGCAACCCTGTATTGGATAAGGCAGTTAGAAAACGGGGTGAAAGGGTAAACAGACCTTGTCTGGTCCTTGTGTTCATAAACTATGAAGTACGCAATGCATTGTCTGCTCCCCTCCTTACTCTATACACAGTCTACAGGATATCTGGAAGGCCCTTTCATTATAGTTTCCTGGCATTTTGAGATGTGAGAACCACCAGCCTGTAATTATGATGGGGGTAATTGATTTCATCCACAAAGAAGGGATTTTTAAATTAAAGATTACTGAAAAGCAGAGATTTGTGTTTGTTGTGCCTTACAGGATTTGAGGGCATTGATAATGTGTTCATAAGCCATCTAGCTGGAAAAAGTTGAGTTGTGCATATCCAAAATACTTGCAGATATGCTTATTATTAACACTAACGCAATATTCATGTTTGACGGGGGAGCTGTCAGGGTGTAAACCACAAAGGAGCATGCAGTGGTTAATCCTGCACTGAGAAGAGCAGAATATCTTTTCAGTATGGATTGAACTGCTCCATGTCCTCTTGATACTGCTGGCCTAGCACTCTGTAGACAAGACACCCCAATTTT